ACCTAACGAATAGTGGGATTGAATGTAACATTATAACGCCCCCACGGCTTGAAAGGGCGAGCATGTTTGGTGTGACGGGGATTTGAACCCGTGACCCGCAGATTGCGAGTCGAGCGCCCTAACCACCTGGCCATGCCGGGCCCAAAGGTAGTGTTAGCTGCCATTACATTGTTTCTTCGCATGCGGCTCAAATATGTACTTGTTTATATATATCTGTATTATAAAGCAGCTTGTGTCTGTTTGTTTGTCCGTGACGAACATTTTCTAGCATTCCGACCTCTGATCGCCATCGAAATTTTAGGGGTTCCTGCGTGCGCCCCAAAATAATTATAAATCTCCTTATTTCATTAAATTTCGCATTTTTACGAGATGACAGCCGTTTCATTTTTTTTTTCCTTTGCTGCTGCTTTAGTGCCGGAAATGATGCACACGCACGCCATCAAAGTGAAGCCAACGAAGTAAATGCTACGCCTGGTGCGGATACATTTGCTAATCAAAATCATCTGATATTTATTTTTTAATCATATCTCATTTTATGTCCTTTGATTTTACTATCCATAATGCAAACAGTCCCACAGTTGTTGCTGGGTATTTTATGTAAAAAACGAGTGATTTAACCCAACTTTTGGGGGTTACTTCTTTACATTGAGTGTCGCGAAAACCTAAAATTACTCAGTATGTTGCCATTTGTGTTCCCCCGAAAACTTAAAATTACTCAGTATGTTGCCATATGTGTTCCCCCGAAAACATAAAATTAATCAGTATGTTGCCATTTGTGTTCCCCGCTGGTAAGTGAAAAGCTTTAAAAAATAGTCGATAATTTGAGAATTAACTTACTATCCCGATCCACTCATGGTCTCGAAATCTGCTTTTTGAATCTAGGAATTAAAACTTAAACAAAGCCGATAATTAACAACATGAATATCTATCTATAAATGTTATTGCGCATAATATGAGAAGCTCTAGAAAGAAGTGTCCTTTAAATAATATCCTTGATGATAACGTACTTACAGCAAATAAATGGCAGGTAGCAACTGACAACCCAATAGCTAAAGGTGCCGATCCTCTCACGTCAAGCCTATTGCTGTCACACACAGAAAATACAGTCAAGACCAGGACGAACGTGATACAGATCTCCACAATACATCCTTGAATAGGGTTTAAATGTGAGTGGACAGTGGTGGCACCTAGTAACCCTTGCTGCTCTACGGGAGTTAGTGCCTTCAAAACTGCTGCTCCTACAACCGCGCCCACACACTGGGCACACACGTAGAAAAAGGCACGAATAAAAGAACATTTTCCGGTAGCTAAAAATGCCAGTGTGACCGCCGGGTTTATATGCCCTCCGCTAACATGACTTATGGCCTGAACTACGGTTCCTACGGTTACTCCGAAAGCTAAAGCAATCTGGACCATAGACGGGCTGTAGTCCTTGTCCCAGCCGGAGATGCAGGATCCGCAGCCGATAAAAACTAGTAGCGCCGTACCAATGAATTCGGCCAACATAGCTTTCCATAACTTGTTTCCGTTAGAAAGTTCATCGATTCCACAAATCGTACGAAATTTTCGAACGCGCCCCATACTTTCTTATTCAACCAGAATTGTCAAGTAACGTTTAATACCGCGGCAAGCACGTGCTTTTCACTTCAGATTCTTCTGAAAGTTCGTCACCGTCACTAGACCTTTTTTTTTAATTCGGTCAGAAGAAAATTAACCAATCAGCTTTGAGAACAGCCAAACGTCAACGTGCCTTTCTGACGTCAAGTTATCAATCGCCTTACAACACTATACTACGCGACTAAATCTTCTAACGTTCTAATATTTCATGTGTAATAGTATTAAATTAACATGGCTAGTGTTAAAAAGCATTACATAATGCATCCAAAATGACACAGTACTACAATAAATATAATCCAAACGTAGCAGTCAACGGTCTCATATTTTGCCGACATGACACGTTGCCATGGTAACTTTCAAAAGTATATGCCAGCAATGGACTCTAGAAACGAAGTCGCGTACCGAGATCCTCTTGGAAACTAAAAACGGCAACGCTATATATTCTCCTCATTCAACGCGTCAGTCTGCGAATAGAGACAGATATGTATCATAAACACGAATCGCCTCGTTAAAAAAAAAAGCAAAAACATTATCAAATTCACAAAACAGAAACACGGTTGAGAGAGAAAAAGAGTGAATTGCTTGACAGATACTTTCAGATGAGGGGGGGGGGCGTTCTTTAACAGGATCAGCCGTTTACCATGTCCAATTTGCATGTTACCTACGCATTAATATGTTTGTTTGTGTGTTTTGAATTTCGCGCAAATCTACACGAGGGCTATCTGCGCTAGCCGTCCCTAATTTAGCAGTGTAAGACTAGAGGGAAGGCAGTTAGTCATCACCACCCACCGCCTACTTATTTACCAACGAATAGTGGGATTGACCTTCACATTATAACGCCCCCAGGGCTGAAAGGGCGAGCATGTTTGGTGGGTCGGGTATTCGAACCCGCGACCCTCAGATTGCGAGTCGAGCTCCCTAACCATCTGGCCATGCTGGGCCGCATTAATATGTCAAATATAAACAGAGTATTGAGCAAACTAGTGTTAGAAACGTCTGAACATTATATGTTTTTATATTTATATCTTGGTCATTATTTATAAGATGTTTGGATTGTTATGGAAGAACACAGTACTAGAAATTTATGACACTGATCCGATAGGCCAAATCTCCACTTTTAATTCTATATAAATCACTATATAAATTAATTCTATATAAATCGTTTCGACTTAAAACAATTACCCCTACAGCGTTATGCCCCTCACTACAATGCATTTAGGTGTTAACTTCACACGTAAACTTGTCTGGAATAAAATATTTTCGTCTTTTAAAAACTTAACAAATACTTGTTATACCTTAATAACAGACTAACCCCTATCATCAGAAATTTACTCATATTTAGAAAAATGTGAATGATGAATTAATAAAACAAAAACAAAAAATCAATTTATGTTACCACTGACACGTTTTTAGTTACGTAGGTTCATTTAATACGTAAAGTTTCCTTGATTCGAAGCGTTTCCTAAGGCAGTTGAAAGTCGACTCATTTTTATACTTCTTTACGGGTTTCCGTGGTATTAGGGTTATAATAAAACTAATATATTATTCAACAGTGTGCACCCAGAAGTATCCTGCTACTACAAGCGTCACGAATAATCATGCACCATATTTTGTGAGCGAATCTTTATCTCACACCTGATTATCCCACATAACACACCGAACACCTTGTCTACAGTAAGATTAAAGATGATATAAAAATTACTATATACATGAGTATACGCTATGCAGTGCTTTTGTATGGATTAGATAGATTAAGCCTTTTTTGGTAGACACTTATGTATACACCATAGCTAATTTGAACTTTCAATACGCATTTCTCTATTACACGTTGTTTTATTACTTCGATTTGTTTTTTTGTTTTTTTTTGTCTATTGTCTTACTAATTTTTTTACTGTTTATTTACTTCACTTTATAGAAGAATGCTTAAAAAATAACGTATAGTTGGTTCTTCTATAAGTATTGGAAGTTGCTCTTTTTTACAGAAAGTTGGTAATTTTTCTGAAGAAGTCAGTGAACACTAATGCAGGGTTCGAGTCCCGCCTGATATCCGGTTTCATTTATTTAGTTCGACTCTCTGGGTTACAAAGATTTTGCGGAATATCAACTAAAACAGTAACTTTAAGCCAGAACATCTTACTACTACTGTGAAGTTAACTCACGTAAAAAAAAAGTATATATATATATATTTACACCACTTGAGATCCATATATAAAGCAGGTATTAAGCTGGCAGACTAAAGGCACTACTTTCATATTACTACTACAATATATATACTAATTTAGTGTGTATCTGTATCGGTGTTTGGCTACGATGCTCATAATCTGGGAGGGTCAGGTGTAATTCAGACCTATTCCTCCTTTACGGTTTCTATTTTAAACTGACAAATGCTAGCAAATAACACAAGCCCGTGAATTTAAACTTCATAAAAGTTGTTTTGGTTTTAATAACGGATTTTCCATAATTCAGCTACGCATATTTCGAAAATAATATTAATTTTTTTCTATAACATAAGGACTTTTTTTCATAAATCAGGAAGAAAAAAACTCTTACTTTAGATCAAATTATTATTTCGTTTACCACAATGGACATTTTTTATTATTATGTTGGTTAACAAAAATCCAAACAAACACAAGAAAGGAGAAGAACATTGATATCAAAGGAATATGCATTCTCGCCTGATTTTTTTTTTGTCTTTTAGTCTCAAAACTACTTGTTGTGGTATTTCCTTTGCGCATTGCGTATGGAGCATCTCGTTTCAATGACCAACAGTAATCAGCTATCATGCTGATGTTCGAACATCCCTGATACCTCCTCTCCATTTCCCTGATGTCATTATGAAACCTTTCCCCTTGTTCTTCGCTGACGGCACCAAGATTTTCAGGGAAATAGTCAATATATGAGTGTAAAAAATGAACTTTCTAGCTCATATTACAACCCAACTCTTTGAACTTATCGAGCATGTTATTGACAATATTTTCGTAATTTGGGTCCTTGTTGTTTCCTAAAAATTTTACAGTAACATCTTTAAAGGCAATCCACGCTTCTTTTTTCAACTTTCCTCATTGTCCTTTCGACCTGTTCATCCGAAGTCAATTTCCTAATTTGATGCCCAACAAAAAATCCTTTCTTTAAGTTTCGCTTCTGAAAGAGCTGGGAATTGCCCACATAGGTACTTGAAACAGTCGCCATCTTTGTCTAAGGCCTTTACCAACTGCTTTATCGACCCAGTTTTATGTGAAGTGAAATAATAGGACTTTCTTTGTGTCAACCAAACTTTTCCGTTCAATGTTTTTCGATCCTGGTATCAGGCTGACTCTGCGTGGCCATTGCTTCTTTACCAAGTGCTGATTTCGTTCTCTGCTGTCTCATTCACACAAAAAGCATGGAAACTTTGTATAATCGGATTGTTGACCCAATAACTTACAAAGGACTTTTAAGTCTCCACAAAGTAGCCAACCATATTCTTTGTATTTGACCTTATTAAGAAGAAGTTCGAGATTTTCGTACATTTCATTCAATTGAACCGAATGAGCAATAAGAACAAATGCATATACGTTACCATTGTGAAAGAGAACACCTTTTAGAGTTCTTTTGGAGGAATCAATGAACAATCACCACTCACTTGGTTTATAGCCTGCAGCCCCTAGCATTGGTATTAATTCAGCGATATTGTTGCAATAAACCAGTGAATCTTCTTGTGAAAAGATGGCATAAACTCTTTCTCACAATTTCTGTATCAGTAAAATGATGTCCCTGGAGAAAGTAAGTTCTTAGCCCGAAGTCTGGACCCCAGAATCTTTGAAGAATTCTTTGGAAGGCACAAATCTCTCACCAAATCATTAAGTTCACCTTGTGTGAAAAGTTGTGGTTCACCAGACGTTTCAGATTGAAAGCAATCCCTATCATCATTTCTATTGACATCAGTTTCAGAATCAGATGAAACTGTATCAATAATCTCCGGTGGAGTAGATACAGGTACATCAGATCCATGAGCAACAGGTCTTAGAGCATACTCAAGGTTCGGATAAGAAATTTCATTTTTATTTCGAGTGTTGTAGCCTTGCACGTTGTATGATCAAAAATAGCAGTCATCTCCATGGTTCCTAGGCTCACGCCAGATCATTGGAATTCCAAAAGGCAAAGACTTTTTCTTACCTTTAGTCCATTGTCTCCACTTTTCGACACAAACGGTGCAAACGTGGTGCGGAGCCTATGATTTGTCTTGGTTCCCAAGTTTTATTAAAAAAAAACAAAAAAACGCGTAATACGTTTTTTTGACGAATTCTCTAATGTTTTGCATTTGTTTTTTTACAACAGATTGACCACAAATATAACAGGCGAATAAATAATATTGAAAAGAAAAACAATAATGTCAAAGTGCACGCACAAATACTATCCAGAAATAACACGTCATGTGACCTGTTAACAGTTTATATACCAGCAGTGTGTTTCTCGTGGGTTCTAGAACGATTATAAGACTCTCATGTTGCGATTGGTCTAGATAAAACTATAGCTAGTGGCTGTCAACATTTTAAGCATAACAAAATGTGACCCAATTTCATTGAAAATAATTCACTTGTGTAAAAGTACACATGACGCTTTGCGAAAAATCTGTATGTAACGGAGAAAAATGGATATCATTTTCGGATTCGGCGTACAAGAATTACTGTAGAACATGTAAACATTTCAGGACAATAAAACCATCGCAGGACTGTGTAATTCATGAAAACAATGCTAAAACATTATTTTTAAACACTTCATAGCCATGTCCATGAATATAATATAGTAGCATTTAATGATTCATTACCACTTTACTTCATTTGGTTGAAAAAAAACACTTCACTGGTAAATCATCACTTTTCACAAGATTATTTTATCAGTTTATCAATTCACCATTTCACACAATTTACCCTGTAAATACACATTTAATACTTTAGTCCAGGTAATATGGTAAGTTCTGGTAATGGTGATTATTTAAATGTTATATGAGTAGTGAATTCATAAATGTTCGGATTATATGTGGAATTATTGGTGTAAAGTGTTTATTGGCTATTTCGAAAAGTAGGGTTATGTCGTCTGTTTGCTTTTGTCGATGAAGTCTGCAAATGTGTTTCTGA